ATGTGTGTAATTTGCGACATCTATCTATCTATCTATCTATCTATCTATCTATCTATCATTATGTATCTATCGCTGTCTCTAATTATCGAAATTTCTTACTAAGCGAAAAATTATCTATCATTTGCACTTTGTCTATCTTCTTGTCACTTTCCCTCATTCTCTCTCTCTCTGTATATATATATATATATATATATATATATATATATATATATATTAAAATAGCTGACAATTTGGAAGTCGTCATAAGAAAAGAACAATGATTTTCTTCATACTATACATTAACGAGATCAAACCAGATTTAAAATAAGCGATTAAACTTAATCGTTACAGAAATTAAATCGGAACGAATTGCAACTAAGATTTTTATTTTTAACAACTTATTCATTTGAAGGTTTAAACCTGAAACATCGGGACTAATTTCGTAAAAGAACAGACGATTAAACTATTTGAATATAAGTAGATACTGACTTGTCAGAATTGATCATCAGGCAATAGAGAACCTTTTTTTACGGACGGAACTTTTGCAACATGACAAAGATTACGAAATAAACAATAATGGGGGGGATTGGATTGGAATCCGACCAAACATTGGCGTAATGCCTTTTCATTATAGCTTGGAAAGGGACAAGACATTTCATCACTGGATCCAATATTATAGTCAAAGAGAATGCTACCCAAATTAATAATATTATGATTGTGGATATGGCCTCGACATTCCATTATTGGATCTAATTTTTATAATCAAAGCGAATTTATTGTTTTCATTATCCCTTTTATAGGAAAACGATATTTTATCGTTGGATTCAATATTATGATGTACTGGAAAGTCATCCACATTACTTTAATTACCACTTGAAATCTAAGCAAACATTTTATAATTGGATGCAATATTATGATCAAACAGAACACCATACTCATTGCTTATATTATTGCATGAAAAAGAACCAAATATTATAATTGGGTACAATATTATGATCAATAAGAAACACATCCACATTTCTTTCATTAGAGCTTGGAAAGGATCCAAAAGTTTTAAGATAGGATCCAATAATAGGATGAAAGCGAAAGTTATATTCGTTGACTTCAATATCACTTAAGGAAGTAGACGTTTTATGATTAGATCCAATATTATTATCGACGTGAATGTCATCTTGTTTTCCCTCTTTAAGTCAACTGCGTAAGCTTTTCTCAAATGAATTAATCACTATCGTTTCTTCTTAAGCGCTTAAAATTGTCATCGACACGAACAAACCCATGAAAAGGTCGGTCTTCCGCTTCTTCTAGCTGGGTCCGCGTCAAATATTTCCTGGTTTATTTATTTCTAAATCCCTTCATATTAAAATATTAACGACATTTCTGATATAACAGCCAATCGTGTTTCTAGTTCATTTCCTTTTTACCTTGATTCTTTCTCGTTGATTTTCAATACATTTTTATCTTCGTTGTATACATTTCCTAACGGAAATTTTGACATTATTTTTTACGTTAAAAAAATTTTTTTTATACAGCGTCGTAAACCGTTCTTTTGACTCTGTGATTCCAACAGATTACAAATTTTTTATCCCCATATAATTTACTTTTATGTCTCAAAAAGATGATATACGTAGTGCACCAGAAAACTATGAAGTGAAAACTGGCTGGCCTGGCTAATGATATTGTAATTTTAAGACACGTAATGAGGAAAGAATGCTTTGAGAATTTGTCACACATCAAACAAAAAATGAATTCAAAAAGTAAAAACGATTACGTTTAACAATGTTGTATTTTTTTGAATGTCAGGACATAGAATGGTGGGGGTAATAGTAAAAAACAAAGATAGTTTAGCGCAATGATCTCCACGCCTAGAAGGAAAACGGCTAATAGAATAATAATAATAATAATAATAATAATATTGGAAAAACACCTTTTTAATAGAATTTACCATCGATTGATAATGTACATAGATTCTGGGAAAATATCTGGAGCAAAAAAAATGAGTATAACCCAAATGCAAGTGGATACGGCGTGAAGAAGAATAAATGCTGGAAATACACCTCTGCAAAGAATGGGAAAAAATATATCCACAGATGATGTTAGATTTTGGAAGCTCTAAAAAAATCCCAAATGGAACTCCCAGGAAATGACAAGTTGCCCAATTTCTGGCTTATCATCTCAACATCTACCCATGAAATTCTTGCAAAAACATTATCAACGCTTGTAAATAATCCAAAATGAAACCCCGGAATGGATTACTGAAGGTATGACATACCTCATACCAAAACAACTGGAAACAGACGACCCAAAAATAATAAGACCGATAACATGTCTCTCCACAATAATATAAGTTGATCACGTCTGTATTTGACGAACCGTACTTATTCCTTTCTCGAAACAAACAATTTTCTTGCTGGAACAGAAGGGATGCAGAAGAGGTTCATATGGCTGCAAGGATCAACTTCTGATAAATAAAATGATCCTGGAAAATTGCAGGAGACGACGCAGGAACCTAAGTGCAGCGTGGATTGATTATCGTAAAGCCTTTGATAGTATTCCACATTCTTGGATCCTTAAGACTTTGAAAATGTACAAAGTCTCCCCTGTGGTATTAAATTTCCTAAAGCACAGCATGGGAATGTGGAACACCAAACTATACCTTAGTCACACCGGGGGCACTGCCATATCCAACCGTCTGAATATCCGACGTGGAATCTTTCAAGGAGATTCTCTGTCACCCCTTCTGTTTTGTTTATCCTTAATCCCTCTTACACATGAACTGAACAACAGTAGCTATGGTTACAAAATAAATAAGAAAATATTCAATCACCTACTCTACATGGATGATCTCAAACTCTTTGCCAAAGACGACAATGAGTTGAAAGGCCTCCTCAATATTGTAAAATACTTCAGTGACGACATAGGTATGGACTTCGGATTAGATAAATGTGCAAAAGTAACTTTCAAGAAAGGTAGAATTACAGAAACACCCTTAATAGATTTAGATTTTGTCACAAAGATTAGGGAACTGGAGCATGGTGAAGCTTATAAGTACCTAGGAATTAGCGAAGGAGATGGCATACAACACCCCCAAATGAAGGAAAAAATAAGAAAAAGAATACTACAGGCGTGTACGTCTGGTACTAAATACTGAGCTGAACTCAAAAAAACAGGATATCAGCCATAAACACATTGGCTGTCCCTGTGGTGCAATACAGCTTTAATGTTCTTAATTGGACCATAGCTGAAATTAATCGAATGGATGCCAAAACGAGAAAGCTACTCACTTGCTATCGCATGCATCATCCCAAAGCTGATGTCGACCGTCTGTATGTGCCCAGATCCGAAGGAAGCAGAGGATTAGTTCAACTAGAACTGTCCTACAAAACTACAACAATTGGCCTCCAAAGATATTTGGAAACTACAGAAGACTGGATGATGGTGTGCGTCAAGGAACATGAAAGTAGTAAGCGTCTCTACTCCGTAATGAAGGAAGCCAACAAATTCAAAATGGAGTTCAAATGGGCGTAGAGATGCAACTACAGCACAATACACCGGCTGAAACTGCAAAATACCTAAAAAAGATAGCAAAGACGAATGCAACAGACCAGTTACAGAAGCGATGGCAAGATAAACCGCTTCATGGCCAATACTCTGCCCGTACCAAACAAGCTGACGTAGACAAAACCCGTACCCATCAGTGGCTACGTAGTGCAGGGTTGAAAGCGGAAACTGAAGGTTTTATCCTTGCTGCGCAGGACCAATGCTTGCTAACTAGGAATTATCAAGCACATATACTAAAATATTGTGTCAGCCCAAAATGCAGATTCTGTGATAAATATCCAGAAACGATTGATCATCTTGTATCAGGTTGTACGGTGTTGGCACCCACTGAATATAAAACCCGACATGACAGAGTGGGCCAATATCTGCACTGGAAAATCTGCAACTTCTACGGGAAGAAAACTGAAAGAAACTGGTATGAACACCACCCAGACCCGGTTACGGAGATAGGACCTGTTACAATTCTATGGGACTACACAATACACACTGACAGAACAATCAAGGCCAACCGCCCAGATATTGTTATTAAAGACCACAAACAAAAAACGGTGCCTCCTTATTGATATGGCAGTCCCTGCTGACTGCAATGTATCTTTGAAGATATTCAAAAAGTTGTCAAAATACAAGGACCTTGAAATAGAAATCTCGAAAATGTGGCATATGGGAACATCAACAATCCCTGTTGTAGTTGGAGCCCTAGGACTGGTTGGAAAAGATTCCAGTAGACTAATTGAAGGGATTCCTGGAAGTCCATGCCTCAAGGAGATACAAAAATTGTTCTGACAAGTACAGCCCACACCTTACGAAGGGCTTTATCTATGTAATTTTTTTTTTTTTTTTTTTTTTTTTGTGGAAAGTGTCATGACGCCATTTCTAACCTTAGGTCCCTGGGCGGGACCCGGAAAGAAATGTGTAAACGCCAGAAATCAAAGAAAATAAAAATAATAATAATAATAGAAAGACCTTGAAATCGACATCTCAAAAATGTGGTACATGTGAACATCAACAATCCCTGTTGTAGTTGGAGCCCTCGGATTGGTTGGAAAAGATTCTAATTCACTCATTGAATGGATTCCTGGAAGCCCATGCCTTAAAGCTCACACCTTACGAGCTTTATTTACGCAAAATATGTTTTTTTTAATTGGTCATTGGAAAATGTTATGATGCTATTTCTAACCTTAGGTCTCTGGTTGGGACCCGGAAAGAAATGTGTACACACCAGAAATCGAAGGAAATAAAATAAAAATGATAATAATAACATACATTTTCAGCGTCCTTAACTGGACCATAGTTGAGATTAAGCGAATGGACGCCAAAACGATACAGCTTCTCACTTACCACTGAATGCATCATACAAAGGTTGATATTGAGCGTCTGTATGTGACCAGATCCGAAAGAGTTAGAAGATTCTTTCTGTTAGAACTGTCTTACAAATCTACAAGAATCGGCCATCAAAGATACCTGGAAACTACAGAAGACTGGCTGATGATCTGCATCAAAGAACATTATTACTTTATTCAGTAATAAAGGAAGTCAA